GAAAAGTGCAGAGAAATAATTGAATTACAGTATGAGTTTTCTGGGTTTTTTTTTTTTTTGGTGCAAAAATATCTAGAAATCCATGCATGTTTTTATAACACACATTTTTCATAAACTTTCTGAAGACCCCTTGCATTTTGGGTATGGATCTACTAAACAGAAAGTGTATCTTTCGATGCATCGCCCTTGATACTAAGTAGGCACATAGTGTAGTCACCCTGCGGACCTGCAGCTCCCACATCCCAGGATGCTACCAACTGCAGACTGACAATATTTGGGAAACAAAAGCGATGTTTTTAATCATTGTTTTTCATTTAATTTAAGTTATTATTATTATTATTAATTTGCTATAGGGCACATGTGCTCATCAGAGAGAGAGAGAGAAAGTGAGAAAGCAAGCTGCCAGGTCCAGATCTCAAACTGTGGTCAGCCATATGGGAGTCCAGTGCCTTACCTACCATGCCACCTGCTGGCCCAAAAAAAGTGATTTTTAAAAACTATTTAAAAAAAAAAAAAAAAAAAAAAACAGGGACCAGCAGTTAGCAGAATGGCTATGTTGCTGGACTCCCACGTAGTCTACCATTATTCGCGTCCTGGACCCAGTGGCTTAAAACTCACACCAGGCGCGTGTGTGTATGTGCCCAAGATTCCGAGAGGAGACCAGAGGAGAAGGGATTGTAGCGTGGCCGTTCCCCCTGGGGGGTGATTTCTCGCTTTCTGTCTCTGTCTGTCTGTCTGGCGAGCACACGCGCCCTACAGCAAAAACCTCTTAAAAAAAAAAAGTAACACAGCATTTGCTTGTATTAGTTATCATAAGTATACGGGAGAATGTGAGTAATTATATGTAAATACCACATTTTTTAAGAGAGATTTTTGCTACAGGGCATGTGTACTCGCCAGAGAGACAGAGAGAAAGAAAGAGAGAAATCACCCAACCCAAGGGGAATGGCCACACCTGCAATTTCTTCTCCTCTATTCTCTCTTGGGATTTGGGGCATGCGTGCATATGCCCCTGTCATGTTTTTTTAAGCCCCTGATTCCGGGACTCAAACCGCAGTCAACTATGTGGGAGTCCAGCAATGTACGCTTTACACAATTTGCTGATCCCAATACCACATTCTTATATATAAGAGACTTGGATGTGGATAACAAAAGGGTATGAGGTTTCCTGGAACCAATCCTCAGCAGATACTGAGAAACAACTGCAATATTTATTCTATAGTAAGTAACTTCCATTTCTGTTAAGAAGGAATTATTGTTCTCATCACTTTGTGGCTTCAGTGTATATTTAGGAATAAAGGAAAAAATCCAATGTTGAATGGTCACAGAAGACATGCTTCTCAAGACCCTGTGTTTTGAAGAATGTCCAGAACTCAGTATGGTGATCTCACAGAGACAGATGTGCACTTTGGATTCTGTATACCCTGCGAGGTTGTAGACCTTTGGTTACAGTGACTTTAGTCCAGATCCAAGTTTCCTAGTAAAGGCTAACTTAATCTTTGCTCTTTCATCGTCTTATTTGTCGTCAGTGAACTTGAGATGGATACGATCAAGTCTGTACATACCGCAGAGTTAGTAACAAGCGGACTAAGACCTACTGTTGTGATGAAAGTGGTGCCACATACCACATTCCAATGGTGTAACTGGTTTGGATGCTGACGTGTAGTGATGTGAGCAGTTCCTTCTCATGAAACTTTGTTTGTTTGTTTTTTAAAAAAGGAAAAAAAGACACACAGTTTTCAGTGATAACAACTATCGTCATTTTTATAACTATGACTTTCAACCATTTTTTCTAGGTGACTTGTAAAATTACTCTTGGCACCTCGTTTACTGAGTATTGATGTGCCATACTAGAATGAGGTTCTGTCGTGTGTCATAGACATTACTGGGGTTCTTCATATGCTGTAGTATCTCAGCCAACTTGACTGGACTCTCAAACAGAGCATAGGTCTTGGTCTTCAATGTCAAATGAATAATAACAACCAATCAGGGCCAGCCCCATAGCCTAGTGGTTGAGGGAACCAGATCCTACATGGCTGACTGAGTGGTTTGAATCCATACCTGGCAACTTGAAAAACACACTGGATGTATGTGTGTGCCCCAAATCCTGACAGGATGGGAGATGGAGAAGTGATAGTGGCATGACCACATTCCATTGGGAGATGCTTTCTCCCTCTCCCTCAACCTCTCCTTCTCTGTCTCTTACGGCAAGTGCACACACTTTCGGGCATTTTTTTTTTAAAACAGAAAGGAAAAAAAATCACAACCAGCTAATATGGGTCTATATTGCCGAGCAACATAGTCTTTCAAGGAAACCCTTTTGCATGCAGGGATCTGGAATGACCTCTGCAAATTGAGAATTGGCTCACAGATCTGAACTGAACTGCAGGCCGTGTTGAAGGACATAAATTGGCCTCATTCTTCTTATTTTCATTTTATAAATGTGCAGTTTCATTTATTCAATCCTTTCTGCCACCATCACTTTTGGTGGCAGTGTGTGTAGGGGGGGTGGGGGTGGGTTGTTTGGTTTTCTTATTCATTTGCCTCAAGAAGAAATGAAAACTTCATTGTGTATGAATTCCAGGGAGATGTCTGACTGCTATTAAAGTTTTCAATAGGCCCCAAAGGTGCCATTTTAGCCCTGCATTTGCTCAGAGATCAGTGTGCCAGTAGCACCCAGGACTCATTGGTGTTCCCTGCTTTCCATTCTTGTCATTAGATGCTGCTGCTTTGGGTGGATAATGAATAACAAGATTTTCTATCAAGTAGCTCTTTATTAATTAAAAAACCACTGTGCTAATCCCATAATGGATCACATCAGCAAACAAATTTGGGAAAGCAAGAACAAAACAGTAACATTAAACTACATCGCCTCCTGGCTGTCACCACAGCTAAGGGCATGCGGATAACTCCACCCCTGCGCTCCTTAAACAGATGTTATAAGTATGATAGAGCCGTGCACTAAATACTATATGCTGTTCACACAAGAACTGTGTATACACATCTCAAAGTGTTTATGTGTGAGTGATGACAACAAACAAAACTAAACAAACAAACAAAAACTACTGACTCTTTCCTTCTCTGAAGCAAGAGACAGTATTTCCTAAAAGCAGGATTAAAATTCTTAATAATTGAAAGCCTTGCAGCATTTATTACTTACAGCATTTGTAGTTTATTACTTACAGCGTTTGATGAAAACAAACAAGCAAACAAAGCAAAGCAAACAAAAAACTACTGGCTTTTTCTTTCTCTGAAGAAACAGACAGTATTTCCTAAATGCTGGCTTAAAAAAATTAATAATTGGGACCAGCAGTTGGCATAATGGCTATGTCACTGGATTCCCATGTAGTCTGCCACAGTTCGAGTCCCAGACCCGGTGACTTAAACTCACACTGGGCACGTGTGCGTGCATGCCCAAGATCCCGAGAGGAGAATGGAGGAAAAGGGATTGTGGTATAGCCATCTGCCCTGGGGAGTGATTTCTTGCTTTCTGTCCCTCTGTCTTTCTCTGTCTTTCTCTGTCTTTCTGGCGAGCGCACACGCCCTATAGCAAAAACCTCTAAAAAAAAAAGTTTAAAAATTTCATAATTAAGCCTTGCAGCATTTATTACTTACAGCATTTGTAGTTTATTACTTACAGCGTTTGATGAAAACAAACAAGCAAACAAAGCAAAGCAAACAAAAAACTACTGGCTTTTTCTTTCTCTGAAGAAACAGACAGTATTTCCTAAATGCTGGCTTAAAAAAATTAATAATTGGGACCAGCAGTTGGCATAATGGCTATGTCACTGGATTCCCATGTAGTCTGCCACAGTTCGAGTCCCAGACCCGGTGACTTAAACTCACACTGGGCACGTGTGCGTGCATGCCCAAGATCCCGAGAGGAGAATGGAGGAAAAGGGATTGTGGTATAGCCATCTGCCCTGGGGAGTGATTTCTTGCTTTCTGTCCCTCTGTCTTTCTCTGTCTTTCTCTGTCTTTCTGGCGAGCGCACACGCCCTATAGCAAAAACCTCTAAAAAAAAAAGTTTAAAAATTTCATAATTAAAAGACTTGCAGCACTTATTACTTACAGTATTTATCATGAGCTTTTAGTATTATAGTCTTTGGCTAAAATAAAAAATAAAAATATGCCCACACACAAGCCATCAAGTGAAGTACCAACTACCAAAAGCTGTGATTTTAAGCTCATAAGTCATGATGAATGAGCAACTAATTGTAAAAGAAACTGTGCATCTCATCTTCCTGTAGAGACTAATGGGAAAAAAAAAAAACCTGATATTTTACAATTCAAAGTGAGTTTTTATAAACATTTTATCATGGACATGTGAAAATGGCATTTAATGATTCTTTCACAAAATTACAACATGTTTTACAATAACATAAGGTTCTAGATGTGACCATGATTTCCTTAAGATGGGCATTGTTAAAATCCCTCAAGAGACCCACTAGGCTATACTATAAAGACCACATGAGGAAAATAAAATAGCAAAACAAAAATCAATTCCAGGACTATAGAATATAAACAAGGCAAAGCCAGGAAGAGGGACTATTTACTTGGGTCACAGAGCTGTTCCATATCACAAACAGCCACATTCTTCCGTGGACCAACACATGCCTCCCATGTTGAATACATCTATTAGGTTCCTGCTGCAGATTTTGAGATTCTCATTTCTGGAAACCAAACTCTACTTGGGCATTTAAAAACAGAAGTACTATACTAAAGCTACTGCTTTATTTGACATGTTTAATATTTAATAAATTTACTTATCACTACAACTGAGAAGTAAAGGGAGAAGATGAAGAGGAAAAAGTTTCTCTGGACTCACATGATTCTTCAAAAGTAGATTCAATGTGTACTCACAGAGCTGAAGCTGCCAGAGACGTAGAAGATTTGGAGAAAATTCAAATCAGAGATGATGTCTTCTAAAATTCAGCACTGGAACTAAATTCCCAAAATGTGTACTTTTGATTCTAACACTACTCTTCTCATTATAGATGCTACAAAATTTGTCAGCTTCTGAGGGTCAGCTGGTTGTCTTTGAATGCAGAGTAAAGGGAGCTCCATCCCCTAAAGTCGAATGGTATAGAGAAGGGACCTTGATAGAAGATTCTCCAGATTTTAGGATTTTACAGAAGAGTAAGTTGATACTTTAAAACTATTTTTCTGATTTTAAAAATAAATTTATTGTATACATTTATTTTACAACTTTTTAACAACTAATTAAAATATGGTCAAAAAGAATAAAATAAAAATCACCTGGGCTGGCTCCATGACCTAGTGGTTAAGACAGCTAGATCCCACACGGCCCACTCCATTGTCTGAGTCTTTGATCCAGTGTCTTGAGAAACACAGTGTGCCCAAAATCCCAGCAGGAGGGAGAGAGGGAAAGGGGTTGTGGCATGACCATTACATATGGAGGAGGTTCTTTCTCCTCTCTCTGGTCTGGTGGCATTACGATCCCATTTTTTTCAATCCTCCAGCTCACCAGACCTTGGGCATGCATGCCTCACATGTTTCAGATTGACTGGACTGGGGATTCAAACCTATGTCACCATGTGGGACTCGACTTCTCTTAAACAGCACATTATCGCTGCACCATGGAGCTAGCCCCAAGAACCTACCCTTGAGGAAACTATTATCAGTTTTGAGGTTTTTGATCTTAGAAAGCTTACAGCAGGAATTATACATAGCCTACATTTCATCAGAATATGAGAGCCTAAAACTACGAGTGATCTCTCAATCTTCACAAACTTTTTTAGGGAGGGTTTAATGAAAGCAAGTGGTTTCTGAATCCCAGCTGACAGGAACTTTTTCTCACCTAAGGTTTATGTACCCCAAGTAGAATCCACGTGTGTTCTAAGACACACGACATAAATGAGTTAACTATTCTCTTGCTGCCCTTCTGTGACACTCACCCTGTCCCTGTTGAAGTCATTGGTGTTTAGGTTATTTATGTAATAGATTAGCCTTATCGCATCCCTCCTGAGTATGCAAGAGACCATGAAGCTCTGTAGGAAGCTTCTGATGAAAATGCAGTCTTTCAATAAAGTAAATACTCAGAATCTGTTCTCTTTTTTTTCTTTCAGAACCTCGATCCATGGCAGAGCCAGGTAAAGATCATTCCATTTTAATTTATGAGTATGTGATAAGCAATTGTGTGTGTGTGTGTGTGTGTGTGTGTATTTATATACGAGAGGGAATATATATAACAAAATACCGAAATTATGCTGGTGTCAAGAAAAAGTGAAAAATAAAGTTAGGGAAAGGAGATCCAAATTAACTTGTAGGACAAGGAACAGAAAGGAGCATGTACAAACTTGGAATATATGTTCAATTCTTGATCCAGTTAGTTTTCATTATTGTGGAGTATTTCTTAGAAATATTTCCTTCGGTCCTTGGCCCCCATTTATGCCCTCCCCAAACTGGAAAGAACAGTTTCTATGATAATAGGTCAATTATGATTCAACGACATATGTATCTCAAAACGTGCATGATTTTGAAATTTGCAGAGGTTCAGTAAAATATCTGTGTTGTCATCAGATTCAGTTGGGAGGATGCTATAATAAAAATGGAAGTAACAGTGGTGAAGCTCTTACCACTAGAAAATATAAATCACTCACCAACTAGGGCATATACATCTCAATGCCTTCTCTATGACCATCCTGAAGAATTAGATTTTATTTACCTCAATGAGAACAGTTTATAACTTCATTATTCTAATTCTCTCTCTTTTTTTTAGAATGATTTTATTTATCTTTATTTAGTTAATTAGTTTAATTTGACCAGAGAGGGACAGAGTGAGAGAGTGAGAAAGCAAGCCACCAGGTCTAGGACTTGAACCGCGGTCAGCTATGTGGGACTCCAGTGTCCTTAACCACCACACCACCTGCCTGCCCCTCTAACTCTCTTTTCCCCTCTAACTCTCTTTTCCAACAACTGAATGGAAAGGCATTCCAGAAGTAGACATTGAACATCCATATCTCATAGCCCTACGTTTGTTCCTTTGACTATGAAAGACCAGCAATGATTTTGCTTTTGCATTGCTTATAGTAGAGTAATATCTTACCTATTAGAAGTATTTCAGTCCGTTTACTCTTTCATCTAGAGTGGATTTTCTTTTCTCTAGGAGATCACATATACAGAATTTCAGGGTCAACTGAAAGAGGAACCTGGCCAAAACAAGTCCTGCCCTTCCTAGCTCCATTATCAAAAATTCCACAACTAGGGACTCCTTCCTTCTACTTTGTATAATGCAAATACCCTTTGGAGATAGAATATCTTATCAGGCAGGTTTAATGTAATGCTAATGAACTTACATCATTTTCTTAGAGCAGATTGTTTAAAGATAAGAGTATGGATGTTTGGGAAAGGAAACAGAGAAGAAAGTGTAGGAAAAGGTCAGAGAAGCACCAAAACTTTGCCTCTACATCATTTAGGATCCTTTGGGTAGCGAGTAAAGATTTAACTAAAAACAACCTAACCAATGAAGAAATGTATTTTCTCACACGACAAGACTCTGTATGATATGAAAATCCTGAGCCTGGTTACTTAGCAACTCAGAAATCATCAGAGGCCAAGCCTTTTTCCATTTTTCCATTCTGCCATTTTCAGAGTATCTTCGTAGGCTGGTTCTGCTCATGGAGCCAAGATGGCTGCCACAGTTTCGGGTCTCACATGCAGATGACAACATCCAGAGGCAAAAAAAGGGAATAGCACTATCTTTTGTCCCATTAAAGAACAACAAAAACTTTCCCGGAAGCTTTCGAGCTATTCTTTCTGATATTTCATTGACCAAAATTGTGTATCACATGCCACCACTTAACAAGAATAGTAAGCGTGACTAGCTTAGACCATGGATGATTCACGATCTGAGGTTGGGAGGGACCATCTTGTCTTGAAGCACATGACCACTCCAGGAGGGTAAATAAAGTGAGGATTCTATCAACAAAGAGGAAGGCAGATGAAGAGTTATTGAATAGGTATTCAAGACTCTCTGACACGGCCTTCTGGCTAGTTTTCTTAGAGGAGCGCTGGTTAATTCCATTCAGATATTGTGAAGGACTAGGACACCAAATTTCTCCTAATACAATTGTGTCTTATGAATAGTTTTTCTTTTTTTGTCATAGTGTGTGCTTACCAGAGGGAGACAGTAAGAGGGAAAGTGAGAAATTACCCCCCAAAGGGGATGGCCACACTGCAATCCCTTCATCTCCATTCTTCTCCTGGGATTTTAGGCACGTACATGTGTCCAGAGTGATTTTCAAGCTACCAGGTCCAGGATTCAAACCGTGGCCAGCCATGTAGAAATCCAGCACCCTAACTACTAGCTAGCTGCTGCCCCCTAATAATTTGTTCTTAATGTCGGTCCTACTGCATGACAACTGGAGATTTATGCTACTGTCTTACATGTCCTCTTCTTCAGCTGTCAAGCAGTTTCTATAATACTTTTATACTATAATCATATGGTTCTTTCCAAGAATCATGTCTGTAGCTATTCACAGGGGTTCATTACTCATCAGAGTAACCTATAAGAATCACTATAGTGGGGCTGCCAGGTGGCATGTTGGTTAAGGCAATGGACTCCCACATGGCTGGCTGCAGTTCAAGTCCCAGACCTGGTGTGCTTACCAGAGGGAGACAGTAAGAGGGAAAGTGAGAAATTACCCCCCAAAGGGGATGGCCACACTGCAATCCCTTCATCTCCATTCTTCTCCTGGGATTTTAGGCACGTACATGTGTCCAGAGTGATTTTCAAGCTACCAGGTCCAGGATTCAAACCGTGGCCAGCCATGTAGAAATCCAGCACCCTAACTACTAGCTAGCTGCTGCCCCCTAATAATTTGTTCTTAATGTCGGTCCTACTGCATGACAACTGGAGATTTATGCTACTGTCTTACATGTCCTCTTCTTCAGCTGTCAAGCAGTTTCTATAATACTTTTATACTATAATCATATGGTTCTTTCCAAGAATCATGTCTGTAGCTATTCACAGGGGTTCATTACTCATCAGAGTAACCTATAAGAATCACTATAGTGGGGCTGCCAGGTGGCATGTTGGTTAAGGCAATGGACTCCCACATGGCTGGCTGCAGTTCAAGTCCCAGACCTGCTGGTCTCACATAATTATTTAAAAAAAAAAAAAAAAAAAAAGAATCACCATAGTATCACAAAGGTAGAGGTGCATTTCATTCTTCTTTCTCCTAGATTTTCAAGTTATTCTATCAGCTAATTACTCTATTAGTTAAGCAAAAGCATTTATTTAGTGCCCAATTTTTAAACTGTGGCCCTTGTTTAAAATGATCTCACTTCAGGAATACCACATATTCTAATTCATATGTGAATGTTTAAAACTTTGACCTCATAGAGAGGCCAGACTCCCACATGGCCAACAGTAGTTCAAGTCCTGGACCCAGCAGCTTGAAATCATGCCAGGCAGGTGTGAATGTGTGCCCAAAATTTCAGGAGGAGAATGGAGGAGAAGGGATTGCAGTGTGGCCATACCCCCAAGGAGTCATTTCTCACTTTCCCTCTCACTATGTCTTTGTCTCTCGCTGGCAAGTGCACACACCTTATGGCAAAGCTTAAATAACAAACTAACAAAAGTTCTAAAGTTACACAGTGGTGATAGCCATACAACATTTTGACTGTGCTAAGAGCCACTTTATACTTCACAATGATTATGTTATATACAGTTTAGCTCAATGTAAAACACATGCAAAATCAAACAAAAAATTATTTAACTGCAAAAGTTCCCCTATGGGAATAGGAATAGACTTAAGTTGAGAAAATGTTTTATTAGTTTATTTTTTCTTTACATATGCCTCCTTTTCCTTTGACTCATAATTTCTTTTTATGATTTTTTTTTAAGTTTTGGTTTTTTTTGTTTGTTTTTGCCATAGCACTTGTAGGCTCGCTGGAGAAACAAAGAGACAGTGAGAGGGAAAAATGAGATGGCCATGCTGCAATCCCTTCTCCATTCTCTCTTCAGAATTTTGGGCATTCACACGCATGTGCCCAGCTTGAGTTTTAGGTCTCTGGATCAGGGATTTGAACCACAGTTGGCCATGTGGGAGTCTAGTGCCTTAACTACCATGGCACCTACTGGCCCCTGTTTTTATGATTTTTCAAATGTATTGTTACTTAGTTCTATTTTTGCCATCTGGAATAATGATGTAAAAATAGACAATAATCTGAGAATCCATAATATATGATACCTAAAAAAAGATCCCTTTATCAGTCCTCAGCCTGTCTTCATGGAGTTGTCACCTGTACATCCTTTAACTGTTCAGACTGCTAATCATTCAATTCAATTAAAAGATAGTTGTGACTAATTATTTTCAAGGAATTCACATAGTAGACTTCTTCTATTAACTTGTGTGGAATCATCATCCATAATTTCATTTTCATAACTGAGTCAGTAACCATTCTGTTTCCCTGGCCTATAGAGGAGATTTGCACGTTGGTCATTGCTGAGGTGTTTGCAGAAGACTCTGGGTGCTTCACGTGCACTGCCAGCAACAAATACGGCACAGTGTCAAGCATCGCACAGCTAGTCGTGAGAGGTAAGGGCTTGTAAGTAGCAGAAGAGTTGACTTCGGCTTTGACTGTGAGTATGCAGTTTATGTTACTGTTCCTCACTGCTTTTTGTAGTAAAGGTAGCTTGGCTTTCCTAAAAAAAATTGAACCTTGAGAAAGATGTTCTTAAACAGTGTCCAATTTTCAATACCACATTGCATGTAGAGCCACCACCAGCTCTGCTCCTCAGTCCTATATAAACTTCTAAAATTTTTTCCAGAACCATACTTAGTTTTTTTAAGTTTAATCTTTTTTATTCATCTCATCGTTCTTTTTTTTTTTTTTTT